TTGCAAAACGTGGTTTTGCTCCCACAGATCCAGAATTGTAAAAAAAAAAAAAAAAATGTCCCCCATGGAAATGGAGCCTCAATCCTGCAACAGCATGCCTAACAAAGAGGACTCCTGGGCTGCCCTCTCCCCAACATCCGCAAAATTCCAAAGTTAATCAGGATCTTACAAATCAATGAGGGGGGGAAAGTTGTTAACAGCTCCATAGGAAATGACCAGGTTTACAAAACACAAACAGGTGATAAACAGGAAGAGCTGGCCAGCCACACCCTGAGTGGCAGAAAAGTCACCCTAAGTTTATAACCAGATACTGGTTGGGTTGTGCTTCTTCATCTGTTAGCTGTGGCTGTTTGCCTGCGGTGTCTCTTGTGCTGGGTCTGCCAAGGACTGGGTCCCTTCCTGCCTTAAGAATTTTGCATTAATTAGAATCTCCAACTTCAGGAGGTGGCTCCCAGGGCCGCCGGGCCCCCCCCCCACCACCACTGTCTAAAGTGGCTACTGGTGAAATAGCCTCAAAATAAATCTGACTGAATGAAGCAGACCATCAAGTTCCTGTTGGGGGGCGGGGGGGTGGCACTCTGCCAAGAAAAGGATCCTGCCGTAGCCACTGCAAGGATGATGACAACAGTGACCGGCAGAAGCTGGCCATCACCCTGCACCTGCACTGGCCATCCTAGGGAGGCTCCAGGCAGGGCCTCCCTGCCCTCCCCTCACAGCAGCCCCCCAGGAGAGGTTCTTACCCCATTTCACAGAGGAGCGAAAACCAGCTCTGCAGCACTTTCCTGGGCGGGTACACAACAGAATATGGTAAAGACACTCAAAACAAGTTTTTAAGCTTCCAATGACACCAGGAGAAGGTCACGATAGAACATTAAGTTAAAAAAATCAACTCAAAAGCCTCGGGAAGCAAGAGAGCAAGGCACTCAGCTGCTACCACCAGCACGGGGCTGTGCACTGCTGAATCTCCACTTGCCTGTGTTTTCTGTTTCTGCCAAAAAATGAAACAAAATCATCTCCCTGTTAAGGTCCCCCTTAATTTTGTGAGTGACCTGAACATCGATGGGCCTAAGGCTGAAGGGAAACAGCCAGAACTCCCAACCAAGGGGTGACCCTCTACACGGTCCTGAGCCCTGACTGCTGACCCCATCAGACTAGGACCCTGGACAAGGGCACGGGTTCAAAGGAAGCACTCCTGGGAAGGACAGCCAAAGAAGACCACACTAAGTACGGGCCACTGAGTTGACAAGGTGACGATGATTTAACCAGCATCTGCAGGTGGGGCCTCCCGCCAGGCCCACCAGCCAGCCTCTCCGCTTTATGAATACATCCCAAGATCCTCTTGGGAGCCTCTGTCTCCTTGCTCTGGCTCCAAGAAACCAATTCAGCCTCTAGACTCAGTTCAGGCAATTTCCCTGGGAAACTGTCCCCAGGCCCCCCAAGCTGACCCCTTGCTGCCCTCCACGCCTGTGTGCCCGACGGTATGTCGATTCCAGCACCTACCAGACTGCGCTAAAGTGACTCGATTTTATGCCTGGCTTCATACCAGAAAAGGAGCTGTCAGAGGGGACCAGGCTGGCTCCCGGCACCACATCTCCAGCAGAGTGCCCCAGGACAGCGGTAGGATGGTGACCATCAGATCTTAAAGGGAAATCACTGGGAAGAAGGAAGAGCTTCCTTCCCAAGCAACACGACAGCAGCTGAGGGAAGAGAAGGAAGGCTGGGTGGCACATCCACAGTGACATCCCAAGATGTCACATCCCGCCCGTGGGGCATCCAAGGGCACTGGTGTGTGTTTCAAGGTGAAGGACACCCTGCGAGAAGCTTCCCTGCCGGTGAGAAGGTCACACAGGAGGAGGGAAACGGCCGTCCGGCAAAGCGGTCAGCTGGACAGGACAGAGAGCTCATCGTGTGTGTTGTCCAGCTCTTTGTGTGACGGCCTGTGGGTCCCCCGAGGTGGCAGTGCTCCCCAGCTCCTAACTCCCTCGGTCCTTCTCCCTAAAGGTGCTGGTCTGGAGTTCACAGCCCTCTCCCTGAAGGTTCCTTCAGGGAGATTCTTGCTCTGGTGGCGGTGGGCAGGAGAGTCGCCCGTTCCGTTCCCATACCGCACCCCGGCGCCCACAGCTGGAAGGCAGTCCTGCACCCTGGCATCCGGCGCCAAACCAGCTCCTGTCTTGCTGAGGCTGCCCAGGGCCAAGTCCCTTCCCAGAGCAACCTTGCGGTTCCAGGAAGTGGCCCCGCCCAGATTCGCCTGCCCTTCCCTGCAGCCCTGGAGCATCCCCAGTTCTGGGCACCAAGGGCAGCTCCGAGCCAGGTGTGTTCCCAGTGTGAGCGGAGGTGTTCCCAGGGGTTTATGTCACCAATCAGCTTGTACAGCGGCATTACTCCTGGGGCGTACCACACCCAGATAATACAAGCTTATGGAGGGCCAGATGACACATTTAAGGAGGACAGAGAAAGCGATCTCCCTCAGGACTTGTGACTCAGCCTCTCTACTTGTAGAGACAAAGGAACAAATGATTGCCGAGGGCCTCCAGGGTACCAGACTGCGTGCATGAGAATCTCACCAACTTTGACCTACAAGGTGTTGTCTGCATTTTACAGGCAAGAAAACTGAGGCCAGGGAAGGTTAACTCATCAGCAGGCCCAAGAGGCAACTCCAGGGGACTCAAAAGCCCAGCTCTGACTCTTCATAACGATTGGCTCATTCGGAGAGGGCCCACCCGGACTTCAACAGAACCAGGGCAGCCAAGATCTCAGTGGGGACTCGGATCTGCACCAAGAGTCTGGGGACTGGCAATGGATATTTCTATCCCAACCTCACAGCCTCTCCTATACTGAGAAGAGAGACAGCAAACTCAAAAGACACCTTCTGCCTGGGCCACTGGGTGACCCCAAGCAAGGTGCTCGTGACACACTGCTCCTTAATCCAGACTGGGTACCATCGTGCCTGGCAGCAGGTGGGCACCAAGTGGGTTGCTCCTGTTTTTTCTTCTCCTGCCTAACAAGGTGAGAAGCGCATGGCTCCTGGTTCGCTGTGTTCCAGTGACACGGGGTACAGTCAGGCTGGAGCAGCCAAGCCCTCCTTGGAAATGGCCCCAAATGAGGCAGTCAGCTACCAACAAGCTCAAGTTTTTCTCTCACTTAAAAGTGCCATTAAAAATGAATTTTCAGGCTGGATGCGGTAGCACACGCCTGTCATCCCAGTGGCTCGGGAGGCTGAGACAAGAGCATCGCAAGTTTAAAGCCAGCCTCAGCAATGGCAAGGTGCTGAGCAACTCAGTGGGTCCCTGTCTCTAAGTAAAATATGAAATAGGGCTGGGGATGTGGCTCAGTGGTTAAGTATCCCTGAATTCAATCCCCGGTATCCCCCCAAAAAAGAATTTTTGGGTGAAGTCACTAGAGAAAGGAGCCAGGTAAAGCTCAAGGACATAGCCTTGCTCTACATTAGACTTCATTCAAAACTACTGTATTGGCCACCTTCCATATGCCAACCACAGTCCCAGAAACCCTGGTATCACCATCATTCCTTTACCAAAAAACAGACTCGAAAGCATCCATCAAAATGAAACTATTCCCACATCGGTCAAATTTTCGCTAATATTCAAAATGCCCAACCTCGAAAAGTGTCCATTTCTATGACCTCTCTCCATCTCACAGGTGCAACCTCCACAGAAGGTAACCTGAGGCCTACTTAGTGACCTTAGTTAGCACCTACTTAGTGACCAGCTTCAGGTTAGAGGTTAATTCAAAGGCCAACTGTTTTCTTTGAACACAGGTCCAACAAATCCCTGTCCTCCCGTCCATTCAGCTCTGAGCAGTAGCCCGTCCTCCTGTCTCCTCTCCCCTCCACACACACTGAAGAGCCCTAAGGCTTCACAGCTTCTCCGGGCTTGACCAGGAAAGCTGGCCTGGGGAGGTCATTACAGAGGCAGGTACCAGCTCTAAGCCTTAAGCAGATGCCCCTCCCAGGAAGGGAGGAAGGGAAGGGACTGTGCTTTAGAAACACTGATCTAGCCCAAGCTCCTCTCTTGATAGGTGAGACCACCAAGGACAGCAGAAACAAATCCAACACAGCTTCTCCCTCAGGGACAAAGAATGGCCTTAATTCCACCTACCCAACCCCCACCCAAGACAAAGCCTCCGGGTCCTCACTGCCAAGGCCCCCAGCAGCTCTCTCTGCAACCCTGCACTGAGGTCCCTCACCCCAGAAGGCCTCAGGGCTCAGCATGCAGCTCAATCCACAGTGCCAGCAGTCTCTTAATGACACTTTTGTCTTCCCTTAATAGCCATCTTCCTGTAGGACAGCTGCTGTCCTCAGGGAAGATCTCAGCAGCCACTCAAAAAAAAGAGGGAGGGGGGAAAGACAAACTTGAATGGGGGGAGGGTTAAAATAGTAAACTGAGTCAGAGGAGTCATCGTCAAATTCCAGAAAGCTGCTGTCCAGCTCTGTGACTCTGAGTCAGTATCTTCTCCTACTAGATCCTCAGTTTCTTCAATGAATTGGGTAGAAGATGGTGTGAAGTCTTTGGGTCAGGAATGAATGCATCAGTGCGTGCTCAGGGGGGTTGCAGGATGCCACATACAGATGTTATTCTTGCACCTGCTCCTCTGGGAACAGGGTTCTCAAGATGCTCACAAAATAGGAAAGAGATTTGCAGGCAGCTCCTGTGGCAGCAGAGATCTTGCCCAGTTCGCTCCTGCCTCTGTCAGGCTCAGTCACCACCCTGGCTTCCTCCCTGAACTGAACTTTTTTATTCAAAAGGTAGATGGGGGTGAATTCCTGGAGCCCAGGCACAGACCTGGAGAGGGATCAGGGAGCAAGACACCTCGAGGGTGGCCGGCAGCAAAGAGGTTCAAATGCCAGTGTATCCCCTTTAAATGCTTCTAGAAGCAAGAAAGCCCACCAGGGTCCCACAAAGGGCTCACTGTTGAGGCCAGGGTTGCACGGTGACTCAGAGGCCAGCTGGACTCCGGGGAGATGACTCAGCACCCCTGTGCCAAGCGCCTGCCTGCCTCCAGAAGCAGGGGGTCCCGTGCCAGGAGACTCAGTCAGGAGGAATGGCCCCCGCCCGCCCGCCTGTGCCCACTGAGGGCGACTCACGCGCCTGGCATTCGAGTAGTGCCAAGTGACGGACCTGTTGCTGCGCCAGGGTAAACAGCAGGCGGGAAACCGAGCCCGGCTTCCCGGCTGTGGGTGAGGTCATGCCTGCGAGGGTGGAGGGCAAGGAAGGCAGCGGCAGGATCGGACAGGGTGGGTGGCCCCTGGGGGCAGGAAACGGCCTGGATACCAGCCGGCCGCCCTGCCAGGCTGCCGCGCACTGGCTTCTGGGGAGGAAGAGAGAGAGAACCCAGGAAGAAAAGTGCAGGACGGCCAAGGGCAGGGCCAGGCACAGCCCCGGGGGACAATGGGGACTGTGGCGTAAAGTGCTCTGTGTGACGTTCACAGACCTAAATGGCATCCTGCTGCTCTTCCCAACCCCCGCCCCCAACAGAGGTCCACTTCATGCTTTGACCATAGCCCTTGCTGCTCGGCCACCGCGGCTTATTTTTGAAACAGACGCTTCTTTCTCTTCTTTCCCTGTCTCCCTCCCCTTCCTAATCTCTCTCTGTAGGATCACCTTTCTTCCCCATCCTAGGCTGAGTCCTCCGTCCCTGAGCACACGCCCACCACAGGAACGGGGTCATTCAGATTTGGGGATGGCACCAGAAGATCTCAGAAGTGACCATCTCCCAAATGAACAAGGGGATCACAACTCTGGACACAGAACACAGGGAGGGCAGCCTTTGATTCCCCCCTTTAAAACCCCCTGTTCCCCTGATGGCCGGAATCACCGCCTCTGGGAGAGGAGTCCTCTGTGTTTTCCTCCTTAGCTAGTAAAGCAATAAAACTTCTTTCTCCTTTTTTTCTCAAAATCGTGTCCTCATTATTGGATTGTCATCGCTGAGCTTTCGGTGACCCCCACCAGCTTAGAGGTCAGTCACACCCGGGTCCCTGCACTCGGTGTCAAGCTAATCCCCTTGGAACTCTCTGCCCTCCTACCAGCAGAGCCCAGAGCCCCGCTGCCCCCCCCCAGTCCACCTCCCCCAGGCAGCCTTCCGGAAGCCCTGAGGGCCTCCCACTGGGCAGGGCTTTCCTCTCCAGTGCTGCTGTGAGTTCTTTGAGGAGTCACACCTTGCCTCCTCACCTGGAGCCCAGGTCCCACAAGTCCCACACTCTGTCCACAGCAGACGTCAGGGCTCTGGCCACTGACCTCTGGCCCTCAGGGGATGCTCAAGAACCTCACTGGGAGGACTTCTCCTGATCTGAGTGAAGACCCTGCTGCATGCCAGCCAGAGCCGCCCCAGGTCACAGCTCACTGAGAACCGGCTCCACGTTGACTGGACACCACAGGCACAGAGGACCAAGCCCCTCATGGGTTCCACCACCTAAAGGGTCAGCCAAGTCATCAGAAGACATGGCTACAAGGGGCCAGAACCTGGTGCTGGGCTGCAGCGTGGATAAGGAGAGGGAGAGAGCGTCGACTCAGTGATGAGCCATAGCAGATACACAGGGCTTTACCCCCCTTAATCCTGACAGCATAAGCCCAAAATTGCACTATTCACTTGACATATGGGAACTCATTTAAAACTTCAACCTTATGAAGTAGGTCAAGATTCCCTGTTTTACAGATGAGAGAGCTGAGGCCCAGAGAGATCAATATCACCCTCCAGATCACACAGCAGGATTCAAACCCAAGCAGGCTGGAACCAGGGGCATCACTTTGCCTCCTCACCTCCTCACGGCTCAAGTATTTCATGGGGAGACTTAACTGGGATGCGTTCGTGGTGTGCCGACAGTATGCACCCTTGGAATGATGGGATGAGAACGGGCCTTTCACCTCTGTGGCCTTCCTCTCCAGGTTCCTCGCCCCTCCTAGGCCCACTGTCTCCCCGCCTCCTGCTGTCCCTCACCCATGTGCACGCGTCGCCACTTGCACTGGTTTCTTGGGCATCCCTCCCTCTACGCACACACACAAGTGCTTTTGCATGTTGCTACCTGGGCACACATGACTCAGACTCCAGTCCTCACACAGCTGACCATCCAGGAGAAAGCCCGCGTGAAAGGGGAGCCTGAGGGAGCACACAGTAGGGATGCAAGGGTAAGAGAAAGGGAAAGGAAAGCCCAGCTGTGCTGCAGTGTTGAAAGAAGGTTTTAGACACAACCAGAGCCTCCCAGAGTGTTGTCTGTTACTTGGAGAGGACCAGAGAGGGAAGGAGCCCCGCACAGCAGAGGGAAGACCAAGGGCAGCATAGTTGCCCGCCACAGCCTTGAAGCCCAGCCAAGGATCCGGGTCCATGGTGCAAGCAGAGAGGAAATGCCCTTCTGTGTCCTTTCTCTGGAGCCACTGACTGTGAGACCAGTTGCTGTGTTTGCTCTCATGACCTCTTGTTCACAGCTTGTAAGCCTCAGTGCTCTGAAGAGCTCCCTGTGCCACCCAGGGTGGATGGGACATGTGCACCTGGAAAGGCTGATAAAGGACCACCCCTGTGTCCCAAGAGTGACTGGAGCCTCGCAGCCCCGCTGGGGACCAGGCTTTCCAAAATGCAGGCTGGATGGGAAGGGGACACTGCGACAAACAGGAGGGACCACTCCTAGGAGTTCTGCTCAGAGAGAAAACCGCGGTGCCAGAGAGACGTCCACTTTGAAAACCTTTCACACACAAATCCTCAGGAGGCCTTGTGGCGGGGGGCAGGCAGAACACCCCACTCTACACATATCAAGTCTACTGAGACTCCTCCCCCAAAACACCGGACCGTTCATCTGCATAGCTGACGTGATGCATTAATTATGCTCCTGCCAGTTTCCAGAAGAGCTCTGGGTCTTATTACTCAGGTGACCCCAGCAGAAGCACCTGCTGGGTTCCAGGTACTGTCCCAGCCCGCGACAAGCACAGAACACCCAGGTTCATCCCCAAGAGTTAAGTCCGTGGATAAGACATACAACCAGATGCAAGGCCATGAGAAAGGCCCCGTTCAGAGAAGCTGGAAGTCGGGAGGCCTTCCTGGAGGAGGTGGTGCCAGAGGTATCACTAAGAAGCTGAGGATCAGAAGGTTGCAAGAGGGTCGTGCGGGCTGTGGAGGCACCGGAGGCCCCTGGGCAAGGCGGAGGAGGGAAGCGAGCCAGGTGAGTGGACGCACAACCACAAGCACAGGTGCTCAAACCCTGCTGCTGCCCAGAGCCCCAGCTCTGCCCGCCTCCACAAGTCCTCCGCCACACCATCATGAGAGGACACGGGGCCTGCCTTCACTGGGTAGCTCTCCCATTCACAGCTAAGCAATGCCAGTGGGGTCCTTTCGTAACCCTAGATGTCCATATTTCAGAGGTCAGCAGGGTCCCCAAGGAACCGTGAAGAATACCCAGAGCCCCTGCTAGGGAGGTGGGCAGCAGCTTCCCAGGGCACAGGTCCGGCAGCCACTGTCTGAAAAGACGGGGGCTTCTCTTAGGGAATCTGTCCCAAATTCCACCTCAGCACCTCATACCATATCTGCCCAGAACAGCAAAGGACCTCATAGAAAACAGTGAGGTCCTCTTGAGAGTTGCCTGGTTTATGAAGACCGGGCCCATGGCACGTCTCTGCTGGGGCATACCTGATTTCACCCTATGCCGACCCTGGGTGGTAGGTAGGGTCCTGCCTGTCCCTTCTGCAGACTAGGCTCCCATCAAAGAGCAAAACAGATCTTTAGTTTTGTCTTAGAAATTCAAAATCAATAAAAAGGTGATCCGGGGCGCTGGGGATACCGCTCAGCTGGTAGAGTGCTTGCCTTGCACGGGCCTTGGGTTCAATCCCCAGCACCACACACACACACACACACAAAAGGTAATCGGGGAAAGCATAAAATAACAGGAATTGATAATACACCGCTTTCATAATAGTTTGAAGGGCCACACACCTTAACTAAATAGGTAGATAACAAAAACTTGGCAAAAGATAAATCAAAAATGAATAAATAACAAATATAAATAAGTGATAGAACAATTTAAAAATAGTAACAACTTAAAATGCACTCATGTGCCTTTGACATTAGAAATACAGGTGTACACTCTGGGATCAGGAGGCCTGAGCCAAGACCTGGACTCCACCAGGGGACCCACCTCAGTCTCAGTGTTTCCTTAGCGTCTCCAGGTCTAATCTGCCCTCCTATGGGATGAGGACAGTAGCACCTGCCGCCCCTTCCTTCCCACCATGAGAGGTACATGAAGATCCAGTCCTGAGCTGGAGGAGAATTTACTGAGCAGGACTGTGTCAGGCCGGGGCCCAGAACCTCTCCCCTTGCTCCCAAGGGACCTTTGATGTACAGATCCATCTCCATTAACAATGGGCTTCCATCCAGTAACCCTCACAAACTGAAAAAAGTCAAAGTGCATCCAACCCCCCACCAATGGACCACCAGAGGTCAGCTCCTGATGGATGGGTGGCTCACTGCTGCTGCCCAGCCCAAACCAGAGGACTGTGTTGCTTATCACTGGCCCAGGAAAGGGCTCACAACTCAGATATGGTTTCCACTGAGTGTGTATGGGTTTTGCACCATCTTAAATTCTGAAGATCTTAACATTTTAAAGATCATAAATCCATGACTTTCTGTACATTGTCCTCATGTGACAAGTATAGAGACTGAGGTTCAAAGATATCAACCCCTGTGTCCCAAATCATCCATCCCAGAGCAAGCTCAGGGGTTTAAAAAAAAAAAAAAATGGTGACAAAGGACTTCTACCTGCCAGGGGTTTCTGGGTGACTTGGTCACCTGGGACCCAGCAGCAGAACCTGCTGGGACTGTACAACATTTGAGCCCACCCCTGCCTAACAAACGGTGGGCATGTGGGCCTCTCCTGGGCACACCACGGGGACCAGCATCCTGCATGGGCAAAGCCAGTTGGGTACCACCTCCCAGAGAACCCAACCAGACAAGAGAGCATCTGGGCATCCTGTTCTGCAGAAGCACAGCCATGACAGTGACAGAGTCCACCAAGATGGCCAGCATGACTAGACCACACCCTTGGCCCCCCTGAGCCTGTCTCCCAGCATCCCACACAATATCACAGCTTTCAGAGATCCTAATGGGACTGGCCAGTCTCTGGGGACAGCCTGGGGTAAAGAGTTAAATGCTCTCTAATCAAACATGGTTCTCAAGTCTTCTAGAATATCCTCTTTGGAGGCAGATGCTCCTTTCCCTTCCTGTCTTTCAGGCAGACAGCTCATGGAGGCTCGGGGAGGGGCTGGAAAGGGCCTTTTCCTCCCCAAGTCAGGCTCTGGGGCCCGGAGGAGGGGAGAGAAGGGGACCTGCCCACACCCACCATGGAGGCAGGTTCTCCTGATGGCAGAGCCCTATTTAAACAGGCCTGTTCTAGCCTTCCACTGGCTGCACACTCCCTCCCAATAAAGCAGAAGGCCCTGTGTGGTGTGGCCTCCCCTCCCAGCCTTCCCTCCCTGGCTCACTCCCCTCCTAACTCTGGGTTACCCTCCAGCTACCCCGTGCCCCACCTTCAGCCCACTGCCCACTCAGTGCCCAGAGAGCAGAAGCCTGCAGGCCCCAGAACTGGCTGCTGGACGAGTGCAGTCCATGGGAGACACCAGGAAGTCATAGGGCCGATGAGGAAGAGTTCAAAAGTAGGACTTTGGGGGCACCCTCCCTGCGGCAGGGCCAGCTCCTTCCACACTTCTGCCCTGACAGGAGGCCCATCCTCCCTAGCTCCAGCCATACTACCTGCCCCCACCGGCTCCCATGTTGGTCCCTTCACCTCCCCATCTCTGTCCATGGTCCCTCCTCTAGACCCTCCTCAGCTGAGCCTCTGTGAGGGACTCCACTGCCTCAGGACTGATCTGGGGTTTCCTTGTGCATCTTGGCCGGTCTCATCTGCATTCAAATTCCAACTT